TATATATATATATATATATATATATATATATATATATATTACCCTTTTAATTCCAAAATTTTTTTTTTTTTGATTTCGTTTAACAGAGTGAGAACAATTTGAATCTACATCGAGAAACAAAGTTAAGCATAACTGAACGTTTCTGAGAAGAACAATAACAACAGCAACAACACACTCAGAAACGTGTTTACAAGGAAAAGTAAAGTGGAGAACTATCTTATTATCATCATCATCAAAACCGCTACTACTACTACTACTACTACTACTACTACTACTAGTACTACTACTATCATATTTTGCTTAAAATTTCCATGTCAGCAGCTCCATCGTCTTTTGAGCAAGCACGAAATCGTGTTGAGGTTACTCTGAGGAGCCTCTATGCAAGTACAAATGTCGAAGAGGAACGCGAAACGATAATGACATTGGTAAATTTGGTGCGGCAAGGTAATGCAAATATTATACTGGATAATTTGAAAGAGCATCTCAAACGTGGACCTCCATCCGAGCAAGAACGTAGTATGACAATCTTGGATCAATTAATGTTGAATTGTGGTCCTCAGTTTGCCGTTTTGTTGTCGTCAGAGAAATGGACGGAACGTTTTTTTAAGGTCGCCAAACTTTCTACAAATGATACGGTTGTACGCAAAATTATGGCAACAATTATTTTATGGTATAAGCGATACCGTACCAGTAGATTTGAGCGTTGCCTTCAACGTTTTGCCCAAAGTAAGGCATTGGGAGATACTTTCAATCAAGTCCAACAACAGGTGGAACTGGAGTTGCGTGCTTCTACACGTAACCGAAGAAGAAGTGGAGATGCTGCACCACAGACGGCTGATACACGTGAAGACAATCATCAGGCACTTAATCAAATGGAAACTTTTCTTCTTGAGGCTCAAGGAGATCTTGCCTCACTTGAATACGCCCTTGAGCATCCTCATATCCTTCATGATGATGATATCGCAAAGGAGTGTAAGCGACATAAGTTTCAATGCATGCGGTTACTTGAGTCTGGTGAACATGAGGATATTGCCCCTGAGCTCATGCAGTTAATTGAGCGCTTCTCGGAGGCGCTGGAGCTTTACGAGGCCATGACGGGACTCGACATGGGCGAAGGCGAGGCGGCGCGGCTGCGGGCGGTCTCCGGCGATGGCACCAATCCCGCCGAGGACAGTGACGATGAGGAGCATAATAGACGGCTGCGTGAGCGAGTGGCCCCAAGACAGAATGTGGAACAGGTCATGTTGCAGGCACAGGAGGCTACACAACAATTGGTGGAGAAGGAACGTTTGGAAATGATACAATTACGGGCAGATCATGAGCAACTTCGACAGAAATATGAGGAATTGCAAAACAAGTACAAGGATGCAAAATCAAAAAATAAAGATGCAGTACGTACCTTGGAGAGTTATGTACTTCGTTTTGAAGAATTACAAAGTCAAATGGGAGCTGGTGGGGACCCCGCACTGGCAGGTGCAGGAGCCAGTGGTGCTGCTGCTGCAGCTGCTCAATTATCTAAACTGAATTTCAAAGACCCAATGATGAATTCAGCAATTTCACCAGAAGAAGCGATGACTATGAGGGATAATGTTCAAGCTATCCGTCGTTCTCTTCGTGAAATTCGTGAGCAATATGTGAGTGATATAAAAAGAGAAAGTGCATACTATTCTTCACAGCTTACGTCTGCTATTGCTTCTATTGTTGCTGCAGCACAACAGGAACGTCAAGCTGAACACAAGGCTTTATTGTGGACGCAGGAATTATATAAGAAAGAGTTAAAACTTCGAAAACAATATTACAATACCATTCAAGAGTTAAAGGGTAATATTCGTGTTTACTGCCGTGTTCGTCCAATGTTGCAGACTGAATTAAAAGATGGACATAAGAATGTTATGCAATTCCCATCAACTGATGAACTTAAATTAGTCGATCAAAATGGTCGTCCAAAGTTATATGAATTTGATGAGGTATATCCACCTGAAGCTCCACAATCTAAGGTATTTGAGGATACATCCCCTCTTATTGACAGTGTTGTGGATGGTTATAATGTTTGTATCTTTGCATATGGACAGACAGGAAGTGGTAAAACATACACCATGGGAGGAGGAGATGGAGAAACAAAAGGTATCAATACACGGGCACTGGAACGACTGTTTGAAGTTATAGAAGAACGTAAAGAGACAGAAACTTCTACAGTTACCATTTCAGTACTTGAGATTTATTGTGAAAATATTCGTGATTTACTGCACAATGATTCTAAACTCTCATATGAAGTAAAACAAGGAGGACCATGTGGTACGTATGTAACAAATCTTTCTGAAGTACCAGTGAAATCACCGGGAGATATTTACAAAATTATGGAACGTGCAAACCGAAATCGAAGTGAAGGACAAACTAACATGAATGAACACTCTTCTCGTTCTCATATGATTCTGTATATTATCGTTCGTACAACAAATAAACAGACAGGAATGCAGAGCTATGGAAAATTATCTTTGGTTGATTTGGCAGGAAGTGAAAGACTTGAAAAGAGTGGAGCGGAAGGTCAACAACTGAAAGAGGCTGTGTCTATTAATAAATCTCTATCTGCTTTGGGAGATGTTATTTCTGGTCTTTCGCAGAATGGAAAGCATATTCCTTTCCGAAATTCCATTTTAACATTTCTTCTTCAAGATTCCATGGCTGGTCAAGCAAAGGTTTTAATGTTTGCTTGTGTTAGCCCTGCAAGCTACAATGTAAGTGAATCGAATAGCTCCTTACAGTTCGCTTCTCGTGCTCGTGGTGTTGCGTTTGGTCAGATCAAGAAAAATCCTGCAGTAGCAGCAGCTTGATCACCTTCATTTTTTTTTTTTTTTTCCGTTTCTTTGGGTTTTCCGTTTTTCTTTTTTTTCCTTTTTCTTCTGTATTTTGAATATCAAAGAGAGCGTGTAGAATTAACAACTGTTGTTCTCTTGTAGTGGATCATTGAGAACATGCAGACATAGTCGTGTCTTGCGTTGAAGATATATATATATATATATATATATATATATATATATGCCGTTTAACCTCTATATTTCAAGAGGTTTCGCAGACATTTATATGCTGAAATAGCATGTAGCAATTTTTTTATTTTATTTTTGCGAATTATCATGCTACTTCGTTCTTTCTACGGATGTGGCTATTTAAAGTGGTATCCGAGCCCTCTGTGATTATTCCTTTTTTTTTTTTCTGTTTTCTTTTTTCATTACTCTGGTAAACACAGTAAATCGTGGGAAGTAAAAGTGAACGCAAACGAAGGGAAGTAGGTATGTGTGGGCGTACATGAGAAAAAGAGAAAGCGAGAAAGAAGTAAAAAAGAGAGAGAAAAAGTGAGGAAAGGCAATGGGTGAGGGGGGAAAAAAAAAAAAAAACGTGAAAACAAATCACGGTAGTCAAAAAACACAAAGGCAGATAATCATTCAACAGGAAAGAGAAAGCACACATATATATATATATATATATATATATATATATATATATGAAGTAAAGACGATATTTCCTTTTCTGCCAACTGCAGCTTAAGTGTTACGGCAAACATTTTCATTTTTGGTAACACTATGATACTAGTCTCTTTCAGTAGCTGTTTTTTTTTTTCTTTTTATCTTTTTGTTTTTGATATTGTATTCGCAGGGAATTTTTTTAAAAAAATCCCATATGGGGATTATGTTAACGGGATACGTCATGATGTTGATTGTTATGAACTAACATATTATTATTATTATTATTATTATTATTATTATTATCTCTCTTTGCTTCCCCGTTCTATATTGATAAAAACAACAATAACAACATCTATAAGGACTCTGATAGTGTTAATACTTCTGACATCAGTTAAGTAAGATAATACACATAGAAAAAAAAAGTAAGTTAGCTGCGACAAGAATACATTAGCCGCTCCGGCGGTGGATAAACAAGTAAAGATAAATTAGTGAGAAGAATAATATCTAAGTAGAAGTAGAAAGATCTTTTTTTTTTTTCTTCGTAAACGGAAAAGAAAAAGAAAAAACAACAACAAAGGACCACAAAGTCAAGAGGAAAGCAAATAATAACAAATTTGAACCAGTAGTAGTGAGTAAAATAGTGTGAAATAGATTCCATCAAAAAGAAAAAAAAGAAATACTTTAAGTAATTTTAGAGGTTAGCGGGCGCAAGTACGTTTAAGGGATTATTATTATTATTATTATTATTATTATTATTATTATTATTATTATTAGGAGTATATGGGATATCCACTAGGAAAAGAGTCGCTCTGCTCGACTCATCATCAATCGCCTAAGGCGATTCTCCCCAAACGATATGGATTGCGTTCTACTGAAGGTGACTATGGCACGAACAATCACTTGCAGCAACAAAGACATCAAGTGTTACATCGAGATGTTAATTGCTTGAAAAACAATCAAACGCAGCGCACGCAAAGTTTCACACTTCCCGCTCCCCGCAGTACCCGTATTGACCTTATTCCAGCTTGTAGTCAAAACACTCGACAGAGTACCCCATTTCTTACAGAAGATCAGAATTCACTGATGGAAGACAGTGACCGTCTTTTTCCTGGCCCATTGGAGGCTTCCCCTTCTTCTAGCAGTCACTCTGGCCAACAACATCCGTTTTTATTTGATGCCTCTGCCCCACCCACCGTTATCTCAACAACACTCTTTAGTGATGATCCAACTTGGGTGGGAGGTATGCCTGGTAAAGAGTATATATGGGCTCCGGATAATAAAGAATCTCTCTGGGGTCCTCTTGGTGTTGCGGAAGGAGTTTCTCGCCCACAACCCGTAACGCCTGTGGGAGAAATTGCCAATCCTCTCGATAGTCGTAATGGTACAACAGTGCAGTCACTTTTCGTTTCCTTAACACGTGAGCCAAGTGATAGTTTGACGACTGACGTTCCTCAGAGTACCACGGCGTTGCCATGCTCACAGAAAAATATAGTGGATATTATAATGGCGCAACTGACAGATAGCAGTTACGGCAATAATAGTAATGATGATAGTATTGGTTCTCATACTTATGAAGCTCCATCAACGGTGCTTTCTACACTTCCCAAAGCCCCAACTTACCCTATGGAAGAGTTAACAATACCATGTTTGACATCTCTTTGTGGTATTGAAACCTTACTCGATAGTAGGACGGCGAGTTACGATGATCTTCTTGATTACCACAGAGAACAAGAATCTATACATGAACCTTTAATGCGATGTGAAGCACCACTTGCAGTTGGATGTACACCTCCCTCTTCTGCTCGAAAAAAAGAAAATGAGGATGATATCATTCCTTATCATAGAGGGCAGAACAGTTCTGATACTAATACTGCTACTACTCCTGATGTTTCATCTAACCGTGGTAATAACAGTAAGAAATTAGCAAATGATAGGCGTAATAGTGATCGCCGTACCAACCAGTTAACTCAGTTGTCACTGAACATACCTCTTATGCCTGTTGTAGATATCACAACACTTAGCAATTTACACCGTAGTACATCTCATGCTCTCCATGTGAAAGCAATGATAAAAAAATCACATCCTGGACCATTGTTAAAGGCAGTAGAATGGCCACCACGAACAAGTGATGATGTGGTTTCTCTATTAAAACAATATCGAGCAAAGGAGCTCTTGCGTCATCTCCGTGTTGTTAGTTTTGCACGAAAAAATGCCGAATGTGTACGTGAACTCTTTGAATCTTGGTGTGCGAAAGGTATTCCGCCTTCAGATGTTTTGTTTGGGGCATATTATCTTTATGTTATGAAAAGAGGCAATCGTGAATTATGTCTGAAGCACAATGGACGTGGACGAGTGATGGGACACGGTCGTGGATGTGATTATGCATTAAAAGGACCTTCATTCCGATGTCGTTACCGTCATGTTTGTCTCTTCTGCAGTGCTGGCGATCATGGATGGTTTGATGAGGAGTACTGCGAACGGTATTTGAATTTACAAAAAGAAATGATTCAATTGGGTGTAACGGACAGTGTGGGATTGGTTTTACTAGACGCATTGGAGTACGATGACCATTCCAACTTGCTTGGGGATATAAAATAAATGCCATGTTATTAGTGGATTATCCTGTGATGGGGATTTTCTTTTTTTTTTTTTTT